AGATGCAGTTTACCCACCTCCCAGTCTGTCCAGCTCCCAGTTCACAGCAGGGGATGCCCAGAAGGACACTCAGTTCTCCTTGCCCACCTCCATGCACAAAAGCTGGGGTGTAGGGGTGGACCTACACATGTCACTGCATAGGCTCAGGCTGTGCCCACTGTCACCTACCTGCCGTGTCCTCTGCAGGTCCGTGATGTGGGCTGACAAGGACTGGAGGCAGCGCTCCGGGCGGAAGTGCACGAACCACAGCTGGGATAGGCAGGGTTAAGGAAGGGATCTTTTCACACTTCCCCCTCTGCAACCCTCTGCCTCCATGCAGATGGTGGTACTGGATCTTGCAGGAAGTGGAGCAAAGGCAGGTGGTGCCCATGGGATGCTCAGGATACGGTCAAGAACCAAATAGCACATCACAGGGTTAATTTAAAGCCAAGAGGGTCTGGGCTAAGGCAAAACCTCAAGGTAAAGCGGAAGAAACGAGGGGTGGCAGCAAAGGGGGACATAGCTCCAGGGGGCAGCCAGTCCTCCTTGCACACCTCCTGCACCCTAGAGGGTGAAAGCTGGGATAACCCAGGGCCATTGTCCATCACTCATCTCAGTGATGTTACATCTAAATAAATGGGTGGGTCACCTTGGCTTAGTTCCTCTAAATTTCTTCCTGCTTTCTTTCCTTTGTTTCTAGGGATTCATTCCATTTATTTTCTACAAAATATACTGTACTTGGTGCTTGTCTTCAGGACAGAGGCTTTGTTTGGGAAGAGTCTACCAAGAGCAACATGTCAGGGTTGTGAGTCCTGCCAGCTTTGGGAGCAGCAGCCCCCTGAAGGCAGCCAAAGGTCTGCCCTCGTGTATCTCCTCAAGCTGCCATCATCAAGGAGATTCAGGAACAGCACAAAAGCTAGAGGGTTAAAACGGATCTGACGCTGGAGCAGACAGAAAAAGCATAAATCCTTGGATTAATTCCTGCTCCTGGGCAGTTTTGGGACACGTAGGTAGAGGCAAAAGCTCATTGGATTAGTCCTCACTTACTGATGTGTACAACTATGGTGGTCTGATCAAACGCACAATTCTGGTTCTTGAGTGTTTCCTCCTCTTTCTGCATGACTTCACCCCTGCCAGCCCTCCTGTGGTATTCCCTGTCCTTCCCTGACCTCGTGTTTCAGCCGCATTTTCCTCTCCATTTTTATTTCATGCCTCTCCAAATATAGGGGGAGGTGTGAGGTCCACCAGCAAAGCTGGGATGCCATCTCTCTCTCCTTCCTTTAATATTTCCATGCTGTCTTAAAACTCTCTTCTTTCCCCTAAATCTTTGTCTAGTCCAGAAAAGGTATCTGAGAAGCAGCAAATGAGCCCAGGGTTTTCTCTGTGGTTTTGTTTTTTTTTTCTCCATAAGAACATCATTGTCATTCTGCTAATAATAAGAATCATCACTATCATGTAAGTATAATACACTTGCAGGAATAATTGTCTGCCCAAAGGACTAATCCTACCTCAGTCTTTATTTCCTCATTATTTCCAATTGCTTTTGGGCATCTCTCAATCCCCATTTACAGAAGAAGAAAAAATACCCAATTATTCATGCCAGCCAACAGGAGAAAAATACAAATCTTAGAAATCCCAGCCTCTGGAGGACATCCTCATGGATCATAACATCAGTAAATACCTCCAGATCATCAGCTACCCAGCAGAGATACAAACAATTGTCTACAGAAAGGATACTTGTAGGATGTTGTGTGGCCCATCCAGGACATCTGTAATCCCCAGAATTAAACTGTGCTTGATAAAGATTTCATTGACAGCTGCCAGCCTCACATCTGTATTCATATTTATCTGTTAAAGAATGCAAGAAAAACTAACACGCTCTACAGCAAAAGTTGGGCTAGCCTATGGCTACAAAGTGCAGCTGGATAACCCCAAATACCACACCTCTGAAAGGAAAACAGTGACAACAGCAACCTGCAGTCAGGGCAGGATTGTCACCAGCCATCAGTATTGGCCTGGCCACCGCTAGCAGATGCCTGTCCAGCCACAAATCTCACTAAGGATTATTTCTCTTACAGACAAGATGTCTGAGGCAGAATTGACTTCCAGCATCATGTCCTCTCTTCCACCCCCCAGCAGTTCCCAGGTAAAGAACTCCTTTCCTGAACCTCTGAGCATCCACACGTTTGCCAGGTCTTCCCTTGGAAGAATCATTGCACAGCTGTCCTTAAAGGCTTACTCCAAAACCCACTAAAATCAGTGCAAAGATCCCTCTGGATTTTGAATCAAGGCCTTCCAATAATCTTCAGATCATTCCTTTGAAATAGCCATACTCTTGTGATTCCTACAAACAAAAGTTGACAACAACCAAGCAGTGGATGCTGCAGGCTGGTTGCCTCTCATGGTAACACCATCTCCCCATTTCCTTCTACTGCCCAGTCTACCTCAGTTTTATAGTTTTGTTGCAGTTCTGTGGGTTATGAGCTGTGTTTTTGATCTGGACTTGTTGCAAGGCAGGTGTGGTGGAGCCTGGACCACGACTCCAGAGCACCACAGTGACACAAGCAAATGATGCTATTAATGGCTGTGCACAGCTGAGACTGCAAGTGCCACCAGCAGAAGCTGACTCTGCTGGTGAGCCCCAGTGGCTTCCCACCAGCTGTGGGAGCATGAACCACACTCTGCAAGGGTGGCTTTATCTCCAGCAACAGCAGTTGGGCTCCAATTCCTATGTTTTAGGCATTACAGCACCTAACTTGGCTGTGAAACATCCCTTGCTTGAACCTGCTGAATCTGCTGTGAAGATACTCCTTCCTCCATGGATAATTATGTTCTTTGCACCTAGGAGGTGACCTTGGTCCCAGCACTTTGGTAGGACGGAGTCCTGCACCCTGTGTTCTGTGTGCCTCCTCTTACCTTCCTCTGGCGACGGTTGATAATCAGTATCACCACTACAGTAACTGCTAGGGCAGCCAGGGTCACCAGCACACTGGCCTCCCAGTAGCGTCCGAAGGAGCACAGCTGGACTGTGGAATACATGTTTGTCCAGAGAGACACGTAGAAAACCTGTAAAAACCCATATTCACAAAACTATGAAAGTGAGAAAAGTCAAGGAAAGAAGAAACTACCAGCCCCTTCTCCCAGGGTAATACCTTATCATAAATTAAGTCACACGAGATTTTCAGAGAGTGAAAAAGGACAATTCCTTCCAATAATAAACAGTGGAAAGAAAGGACTAGAAAGACTGAGTGAGCCCTAGTATATTATAAAAAATTACCAGTCATCAAAGACCAAGAGTGAATTATTAATGATGATTCATACCTAGGAAGGATTTCAACCTAGTTCTTCCATTTAGATAAGAAATGCACTCACTGAAGCATACTGATAATGCTTCTAATAGTCCCTGTATTTAGAAAGCTCCTATGTCAAAGCACTCAAGGTGGCGCAGAGACTACTCAATTACAATAACAAATGGTGGACACTGACTCTGGGCTCAAGGACTGCGCTAAGGACTGACAGACTTGGCCTTTGCATAAAGACGGGCAAAACTGAATATGTCTGCCTTTACTTCAGATAGCACACATTTGGGCAGGAGGCTGCCTAGAAGCAAATATGATGTGTACAGCACAGCGTGTCACAGCATCATCTTGCAATAATATAACTCATTTGCACTAAACAGGCACCAAAACCCTCAACACACCGAGCACCAATTCCTACAATATCAGTGAAAGGAGAAGATGATGTGTATAATGGCTATCCAAAAAAATAAATGCAACTAAAATGAAGGAGTCAGATTTTTTCACACCTCAGCACACTGCAAAGTATCAGCCTTACAGTGGATGCTAACAGCTGGGGCCTCTGGAGGAGCCTCTTTCACCAGAAGAAGGCAAGCAAGACAAGACAGTCACCTCAGTGACCAAAGCTGACTGGTCCATCAGTCTATATTAGTATCAGGACCAGAATATGGACATATTTTTGAAATCAAGCTAAAAAAAGTCTGATGTAGGTACTACTACCTCAGCACACGCTGGTTATCCAGCCAAGGCAGCCCACTTTGGTGGGACTGCCAGTGAGGGGTTGGTGAAGGTGCCTTGTCCTCCACCTACAGAAACTCTATGAACTGGGATTTCCAAAGGAGCTCACTAGACTGTGTGAAAACCAATATCTCCTTCCCACCCAAACTTCTCTCCCTTTCTGGGCACAAGAACCCCAGGTGTAGATCTTGATGCATCTCAGCAAGTGCATATCAACAGTGACCCCACCATCCTTACCACAGCAATGGCTATCTGGAAAGCTCTGGAGTTGTAGAACATGTATCGCCTCACTTCAGGCTTCAGGACAGCATCCTGGATCAACCTTCTCCACTGATCCGCTGCCACCTGCTCAGGGAGCAAACAGAAAACTACAGCCACCCTGCAGTTTTGGCCTCCTCATCCCTTCAGGGTGAGCTTGGGCAATGATCATGGGGCACTGCAACTGAAAGCTGTGTCCCAGAGCACCCTCCCACAGAGCACACCTCCAATCTCATCCATACAGCTGTCACAGTCCAAAAACTTGTGTTCTTGCCTCATTTGCAGTGAGTGATATCTCCCTGTGGAGTACAAGGAAAGTCACAGGAAAAAAACATTTTATGACAAAGGACAAGACAAGACAGATTGTCCCAGGGATGCTCCATCTCATTAGAGTGACTTTCAAGCAGTTCACTAGAACCTACGTTGAATGGGTTTCTTCATGGAAGTCTAAGCCAAGATCATTACAGTTGACTTGCAGTCCATGGGGAATAGACTGAAGTTGAGTTGCAGCAAGTGACTCAAACAAAAACAAAACAAAATAAACAAACAAACAAACAAAACCAAATAAATGCTGTCTGTAATGTGGGTGCAAATGCAAATGACGCTGATGAGGTAGCATTCACTTCTACAGGATTCCCAGGGGAGATAACAAGTGAGGAGCTTACCTGAACCCCAAGAGACTGGAGTTTCTCTGCACAAAGCTCCATGTCAAAGGAGGTGGCTGAGCAGTTGTTGTCCATGCTGAGCACCATGAAGACCTGGCCACTGAGGGGTTCTGTAAGAGCCCAAAGGAGACATGAGCACGCTCTGGCACTGTTTTATCTCTCAGCAGCTAAGGAGCACGTGGCAAAGGGAAGGCTGTGTAAAACAGACCACCCTGATGTGCTTTAAATGGATCCAGAATCCCCCCCTGGAGTTTTCTAAGAATAACACAAGCAGCTTTGGAAGCAGCCTGATGTCCTCTGTAGAGAAACAACCCACAAAAAGGGAGGAAACCCCAAACACATTCCAGGAGTGAGCAGGCAGAGATAACATGATGCTGTGATCCTCAGGGGGTAATGTCTTGCTTCACTAATCTCCAAGTGAAAGGACAATGGGCTCAAGCTGCTCGGTGTTGCTAAGGCTATCTATCTCTTAGAGACATTCCCCACTGCCTACCTTCCCCCACTCACATCCCAAGAAAAAGCTTGAGCAATCAAATTAAAGTGCTAGGATCAGAGATGTAATCTAAAGATGCAAGTTGCAGTCAGGAGCCTAGGTGTGAAGCCAGCCTGTCCCACATTTGAGGAGCAGGCTGCTCGGAGCTGGGGCAGAGCAGCTTTGGAGCAGCATAGGAGAGCTGTCATCTCCAGGCACCTTATCTGGCATTCATCTAGAGGTTACACAAGCTGTGCTATGTCAAGAGTAAGAGATCGGGTCTAAGGAAGTGGCTTGTTCAGATAAGATCCTGTTTCACTGAAATGTTTCACACAGTTTTCCTTCCCCTTTGCAGATCTGGAGTCAGCCAAGTCTCCCCTGGGGCTGCTCCTCCTGTCACTGCCTGCTGAGAGCTCTCCCAGGCTGTTGTGCTGGCTGAAACACAGTATGTTCTCACCTTTCCCTTCTCTCCCACTTGTGTCCTCCATCCTCCTCATCTCTTCACTGCTCAGGAACAGGAGGTGTCAAGTGAAACGAGGCAACTACATGACAACAGGGCATGACTACACCGAGTCAAAAAGAGAAGAGTAGATGCATCTGAAACCTCAAGCACAGCAAGGTCCTGTTCGCTTGCTGAGGTTTAACTCCTCCTGACACAGTGCAGTGGAGGCAGTGAGTATAAATCAAGAATAAAAGCAAATGGCCTCATCCTTGAGCTTGACTCTCCTGTCCTCCATGGCTTTGGCCAAGTTCCTTGGCACAAAGTCTAGCAAGTTGGGTGCCAAGCTGAGTATACCCGAGATTTGCAGAGGGGCTCAGCTCCTTGAGCTCTGCTGGAGCCTGCTAGAGTGACAAGAGCCGCTTCGCCCCTGCAAAAAATGAACACCAAAGAGATGCCATGAACCGAGCAAGCAAAAAGGGCACCCTGCTGAATGGTGCATGGAGGTCTGGCTGAGAGCAGCCACCCATAGCACTGCCTTCTGCCTCTACACAGCACCTCAGGCAGGTTTGGGAGCAGTGCTGCAGAGAGGGAGCACATTGTTACTGGAGAATGGAGTCACTTAGAAAGCACAGGTCAAGTTTCCCAAAGATTTCTTGACTTTTGAACTTCAAGAGAAGAGGGCTTTCAGGGTCCTGGTTTTTAATAGGTGGGTGTTCCTTCATTCCTATATATCAGGCTTTCCAAAAAAGTCCAAGTGTCTCAATCCCCGCCCAAAAATACTGAAATGTCTATATTGTTTAGTTACTTCTGTAACTGAGATGCTGTTAATGAGCATCTTTGAAAAATCTGTCTTCTGTTATTATCTTAAGGGCACTATATCATCATCATCATCAAATTGCTTGCTTACCTTCCACCCACTGCAGGGAGTCTTCCTTTAAGTCACTCTTAGAGTAGAGGACAGGGGAAAGCGACTCGTTTTTCTCCATTCCACCAACTTGGTTTTTATGGGCCATGCTGAAGGTGCCTCAAGAAGAGGCACCTATGTCATACAGTCAGAAATTCGGCACTTTGTATATCTGCCTTATCTTCCACTGCTAGGAAACACAGACTGAGCCCCAAGGCAGCAGGCGGGTGCTTGCTCTCCTCACTAGGAAGCAGCCTGTGAAGTCCTCATTCACACTCCCACTGACGGCTTCCTCCAGATCCCGCTTTCCACGAGGAAGGAGACATTTCTAGCCCTGAAGAAGAAAAGAAAATCCCAGATCTTGCAGAGACAGCAAATAAAGAGTAACAGCACAGACTTGTACTTGGATGTGCCCTGCTCTTTGGACCCTGCTCCCTGGGGATGTTATCACCAGGCAGGTGTTAAGTGGGTGCAGTATGCACCTGCTCACCTTTTGCTGCAATTACCTTTTTATTTGTTAATAGGTGGAAAAGTTATCCCTACATAATCCCAATAATCCTTAAATATTCATATTTTGTAAACAATTAGTCAAGGAATAAGCAGGATGTCTCCTTGTGAAGCCAACAGGCTTTTTGCTATTGCCTCAGCGGTCACTTGCATGACAGGAGCTGGTGTAAATGCCCCTCCCTGGAAGCGACTCACCCCACTGACCGACACGGTGGATAATTCCCCACCACACGAAGGAAGCAGTGCAGATAATTAAGAAAACGCACCCACTGAAGGCAGAGTCAAGCAGGAGCTCCCACCCAGCAGCAGTAAAGCCTTCGAGAGTCTCTGCTTTCCTTCCCCTCTCCTCTCCACTGCAGGCAGTGCCAGAAGCCAGCAGGGCACATCCTCACAGCATGCACCTTGCCCACGGGTTTTCCAGGCAAATGCTGCTGACGTAGGTCTCTAACCTGCTGCCAGGAACAGCAGGTGGTTATGAAAGCAAATGCTTGGAAGACTTCAAAGTTTACTTTTCTATTATCTTCCACTCATGTGGCTCAGCTGCATCTGCGCTGGCTCTCCAAAACCATCATTTACTTTTTAATCTCTGGTCTGTCTTATTTCTGCACCAGGATCCTGTTGCTGTCTCTTGGTTTAAGGGTTCCTCACAGAGCTCATCCACTCTCCTTCCAGAGAAGACTGCTTTTTTATTTGACTGATGGTTGTCACTGCAGGAGAGTCACCAGCTGCAGGACCATCGGAAAGGAAACTGAGGCGAGAGAAGCACCACAAAAGGTTCTTCTGATGGCAGAAAAAAATCTGCAGAGGGCTGGAAACTTGCATGTAAAGGAATCAAACCATGGTACCCGTCACACAAGAGGCGTGCAGTGTGTGTGTACACACGGGATGGGCACAGCACCTGCTCTTCCCCAAGGAGCAATCCTGCTGTATGTAGAGCACGGCCCTCCAGTGCAATGTGCTCGCACAGCACATGTTACAGAGCACATCCCCCAGCACCGAAAGGTGAACTCAGACAGTGAATTTTCTCACTCCTTTCCCCTTTCGCCTTCAGTCCCATCAGGTTAGCATCAAACAAGAGGGAAAACGAAAAACAAGACAGAAAAGGCCACACAAAACAGCAGCAAAGCAGAGAGTGAAAAACCACAGAAGGAAAACCTAATTAAAACCCACTACTCTGCTGCTGTTGTGTTAAGTTTGAGATGAAACAAGGCTCTCTGGGTTAGATACTGAGAATTTTGAGTCCCTGGAGGACAGTGTCCAGGAAGCAACAGCGAAGAGTGCAGCAGGATCAGGGCAGCTCAGCCTTCCCCAGCTGTGACAAAGCAGCTTTGCTTTTACCTCTCTGTGCAGCACAGGCTCATTGAGCTCTGTTGCCTTTTACTGTAAAGTGAGTGCCCACTTTTAGAGATCAATCCCCCCAAATCTTCCTCTGCCTCCTCCCGTGCTAGCGTGAGGGGCATCCACTCATCTCCTGCCCTCCCGAGGCTCTGTGTCTCTCTACATTCTTTCTTACTCTTTATGCAATGCCAATATCTCTCTGGTGACTTGCCTCCTTCAGGTTATGGACCTTTCATGTAGGACACCTCCAAGCCCTAGCTAAACAGCAGACAAACGTTCAGCAAGTCCTTCTGCTTCATTTGCAGTGCTGCCAGCAGAGGCTTACCTGATCCAGCTCACCTCCTGGTCCTAGGGAGCCAGCTCAGCTCCCTCCTCCTCCTCCTCTCTGTCCTTTATCTCCCACGTCCTGCTCTGCACTGCCCAGGTGCTGTCCCACCACCCAGCGTGGAGGTCTTCGGTCCCACAGCCCGAGCCGGTTTGGAGAAGGTTGCTCTCTTCCCTGCATCTCCCAAAATCACGAACTAACCTGGCACAGCTCACCCAAGGCACAAAGCCTGCACCCTCACCCTCCCTCTCCTTACCCTGAGCTGCAAGCACCAACTTGCAAAATTTCCCCTGTGCATGTGACTTTTCCCCCGGGCTGGTTTCAGAAACGTGGTTTTAACCCCCTAGAGTTCTTCAAAAGTGCTTCCTCACCAGGCGCAGCAACAAGAGGAGATCCCATGGGAGGAGATCCCATCACAGGAGCTGTCCTCACCTTTTGCAGGGTGAGGGTCCAGAGCCGGAGCTAACCTAAGGGTCGTGAAGAGCTGAGAGGCAGTGCAGGCAGAAGGCTGCTCCCCTCCTCCTCGATCAGCCGGGCAGGACTCAGGAAGTACAGATCCCAGGGTTGCGTCAGATCAGTTGCCGTGAACGTGTCAGTGAAAGCTACGCATCAGCGATAGGGCTGGAGAAATCAGAAGAGGTGAACGAAGACCTCAAGGCTGAGAACGGGTCACTGTATATTTAGCAAAAGTTAGTGGTAAAGCACAGAGAAACAGGGATAACGCACAGGGTGGGGATGTAAGCCTCCTGAAAACAGGAGGCTGCGCTGATAAGGAGGGCGGGTCAGAGTTTCCTCTCCCGCTGCTGCACTCAGAAGAAAAGCAGTGGGCTCAGATGCGTGGTCAGAGAGAGCCCCCGGGACAGCTTCATGTGCTGGGGAAGTCATTCGCTTTCATGCGAAGAGATAATGCTGAGAGACACCACAGGAGAGAAGAGAGCCTGGGAATCGGGGTTTCATGACTTAACAAATGCTGGAGGATCCACCGGGGCTAGGAACAGCGATCAAGTATTTTAGTGGCTGTTAATCTCAGTGAATAGTTAAAAAAAGAAAAGCTTCATTGCAGTGCTTGCATACATGTCCTGGAGAAAACACTGTTTTTCTCTTGGAGGGGTGAATTTCTGCAACCCTGCTCGCTCCGGACATTGCTGAGCAATGTGTTCATGGCATCACGTGGCTGCATGGGGAACAGGACCGGCTTCAAAACCGCTTACCCGCATGGGATCTTGTTACACTGGAAACTGGCAACTCTCACACTAACGTCATCCAGGTACTGAGAAAAATCAGATAAATCTTCCTGCTGTTGTCGGTAGCTCAAGGCCCAGCTCAAATCTCCACCCAAGACAGGGCCATGCAAAGCTTCAGGTTCTTTTGCAAGTGCTCTTCGTTAAAAGCTTTGGCTTCCTTTCCTCCTGTTCTCACCCACACAAGGAACCTATGATGACCGAAGTGCTTCGAAAGAGCACGGTCAGCTCGCTGCAAAAATCACCCAAGGCAAAACTCTGTGGGAGCAATAAACTTGAAAGCAACATTCATAATTACCTGTACATATACTGCGCATCACCGGTTTAGCAAGACATGCGTGTATGGGCTGATCTTGGCTTCGACACCTCATCCCATCAGCACAAGCGGAAAGATCCTACTCATCTGGGAGGGGTGTTGGGGGAAAAAATAAAGAAAAAGAAAAAAAGCTAATTCCACAAAGCAATCCCAGTTTTGCTGCTCTGAAGCAGTAAAAAGGGTCACACACTATTAAATTTTTAGAAACTTTCAGACTGACAGACTTTCCCTCCGAGGGTTTTTAAAGCATCTGTTTCACAGCTGTCTAAGGAATGGAGGAGGAGCCATCACAGCAGCTTAAACCAGCCAAAATCAAAGATAAGGTTATCCAGTTGGTTTTCTGGGATAGTTTTCCACCCAACCACCTCCCTGAACTTGCAGCTCTGACTCAAAGGAGATGATGGATCTGCAGGTCAGGGTGTAAGGAGTCAAGGTCTCCCAGCCCAACTTCAAAAGCAGTCATCAAACCATGTTTTCAGAAACCTTTGGCAGGTGTTATCTTATTTGGAGCATAATTTTTATGCTTTTCTTAGGCAAGCGAGATCCTACCAGGTATCTTCTCAGTCCAAGCACGCATCCTGTAGCCACAGGTCCCAGCGAATAGTCTATAAAATATTCAATGATTAATATATTCAGTAAACAACACATTTAGATTCTAGCTGGAGAGTAAGGTGCTATCATATTTGCACTATGCCTTTATATCTGAAATGCAAAGACATTTTTGTAACATTCTTATCCAACCTATTAATGGCCCTAACAAGACTTGAGCAGTAGAAATTTAACCTATTAGATCCAACAGGGAGAACTGTAATTAACAGCAACTACAAAGTCAATCAGTAAACTAGAAAGGAATTTGGAGAGAGACAAATGCTCACAAGAAATAGGGAACCCTTTGACTGTAAAACAGAAAGAGGACACTGGCAGGATCCTAACGCAGACTGGAGATGCTTCTGGTACCCTCTGAAACTAGCCCTGTTCAAAAACGAAGCTCTTCTGAAAATTGGGATGAGAATGAATGCACTGAAAGTGAATGAAAACGCAGATTTCTCCGCTCCAGGAAGCATCACCTCGGCTGTACATGCAGCTTGTGCCAGCCAGCAGGGATTTGGGGATTTGTTTTATACAAATCAGAGGTAAGGCAGTTTCACGTTTGTCTTGAGCTTTATTCACTGGTATCCATGAAGGAGCAAGTCCTGACTTAACATAAACCCACAGCAAAGCTATTTGCAAAGTCTCGCTCTCTCACTTCAGTTGCTCTTTGTCTATTTCCTGCTTTCCGGTCTTAACTCTGATAATTACATGATGAGCACCCACTGTATCCTTCTCATTAAGGGACACTTTCACCCCAGTGCCAAATGAGACCTCACCGTTCCTTCCAACAC